AAAGAGCATTTTAGACCTGTGGAACAGGTTAAGAAAAGGTGGAAATGGACAAATCATATATGAAAAGCCATATAGAAACCAATGAACCAGAGTGTGGACAGTGAGAGTGGATTCTAAGTAGAATAAGGGGGAAGTTTGGTTATATGCAGCAAGAGTATATGAGAAAGAGGGTTGGTTTTGGTGTCAATGGGGAAAAAGTAAACTTACATGTTAGGGTTAGGAGTTTAGGTCTGATGCGGTGGGGGTGGGGTAAAGGAGGGACGGGTATGATGAAAGTGACAAGTAAAGGAAAGTATTCTGCTGGCTATATGAAGAGACTGACAAGAGAGAAGCCAGTTGAGGAGGTTACTTCAGCCATCCTGCTAGAGTTGATCATGGCACAGACCTGGATGGTGACTGTGGAATTGAAAATAGGATTCAATCTGATGACCCCTGAAAAGAGTAGAGAAAGAAGACTCACGATTAAGCATAATACCTATGATAGGGCCTTCAAAATGCATGGAAATGTGTATTTTGAGAATTCTATGCATAGATTTCAATTTTTTGCACCAAAATAAGCTGATTTTTTAAAAATCTATTTTCCATGAATTTTTTGAAGTACACTTGTATTGTCTTAAATTATCTCCCATTGTAAGATAGCTGGTTTTCTAAACATCCAAAGGAAAATGCAATTCTATAATACTAACTCTTTTAAAAGAGCAACTGTAAGCATTTAATGATCCTCTTTAATTTACAAAGATTCTAACTTGAAGACAAGGTGGGATGAACTGACAATTTTGAGACTAAAAACAATCGTGCCACATGATACCGATAAGAAACAACATTCAGCAGAATTTCCTGTTGTTCATAGAGAACGTATGTGGTTTGAAATTGATGAAATCTGCGTGAAACCTAGCAGATTTCATTGTTCTGATGTTTAGCTTCCTTACTGAAAGTCATTCCTATGTGAAACTTTTATCTTTTGAAGGTGGGAAAAAATGCTTGATTTTTAACTGAGTTAATTTTCAGTTGACTCTTCAGATAACAGGGAAGCTTTAGCAGCCTAATTAAACCACATATTTGTCCTAATTACTTTAGCTGCAGACTGCTAGGGAACAAAAGCAGCAAACAGACCTGTTCTGTGTGCAGCAGTCAGGCATTTGATGGTTGTTTTCTCCAGCAGAGGTTTTGAGTAGCACAGAAGTAAAATCTGAGAAGCAAAGCCATCATCTGCAAACGGTGGCTGCAGCCACAAATCACAGGGAAACCCTTATTCACGCGCCGTGTATAAAGCATCATTCATCCTGCATGACTTCAGTGATGTCCAAACACAGAGAAAGCGATCATCACTGCTAGCATCATTTTTTCAGTATCATGAGCAGCACTGCATTTTTATCAACGTAATTGGGCATTAGCTTACAAAGACTATAGCGTTAATACTTAAAGGATAATTTACACATTTGGCAAGACTAATAGTTCTCTTCATACTCCTTACTTTGCCCCATAAGCTTTAGCCTTTTAAAATAATGTCATTCATAGTTAATGTAGCAGTTTAAATTAAGTAAATTTACACTTCAATTATCCATTTTGATTTTAGCACAAGTTGAGTTTGGAATACTGACGATCATATATGTATTATCCTTATGCACAAAGGAAGAAGTCAGACGAGTTTTTATCATCACTGACTAGTCAATTCAAACAATTGCTTTTTTAACACCAAAATCACAGGAAATTCCTTTTAAAGGCAAACCCATTAAAGACATGTTTCTTCGTTAGATGGGATTTGGTATAAAGGTAGTGTGTTTGTTTATTACTTTACCTTAGTTTCTAGATGCAAAATGCCAGCTGCAACTTTGCTTTTTTTCAGGGGAACTGGAAAACTAATATAATAAATACTGTGGATTCTATTACTTCTTATCTGTTGTTTAAGGAAAAAAAAATCTGTATTTCGGGCTCTTGGTTCCAGACATTTCGCAGACATTCTAAATAGACATGCAAACCCACTTTAACTTTGAAAGCAGTAAGTTGCCCTAAAGATAAAAACAAAAAATGAAAAGGTAGGAATCTACAACCAAAGGAGGTTAAAGCAGTAAAGCAACCATCTGGTGAGTTCAGGGCAAATACAAAGTCTCCAGTTTTTGCCTGACTCTCTAGATGTCTGTACCACCCCTCTGCTTTATTTTGCCTATGGAAACCTGACCTAAACTAAACAACTATTCTATATCATTAAGTTGTCCAGGAAGATGAAAGTTTAAATATACGTCAGACAAGCCGAAGCATCTGGTGCAATTCAGTAATGATGGTCTCCTTCGGAGAGCTCAGTGTTGGAACAACTTTAGAATGGAGGAGGTTTGGTTGACTTGTGGGAGGAAAATAATGTCCTTCTAGTCAAACATTCTCGGTGTTCACAAGGACTCGTACTTGCCAGTTCCTCTCCCATTGAAGGCAACGCAGAGTAAATCCCTTACGAAAATCTCCCTGTGTACAAAGTGCTCAGTACTGTTGTTCCTTTTCCACTATGGCTATTTTACAAATTATTCCCACACTGCTTTGTTAATACAATAACTAGTACTAGGCTTTTCCTCCTAAACTATCATGTCTTATAAAGTACTGTTGTAGAGTGAGCCTTAAAATCTAACTAATTTAGACGCTCTCTTATAGTTTGTTGACATGAGAACAAACTACGTTCTCCCTTAGATATTTTAAAAGGTTAGAAGTGATCATGCTGACATGTGTGTGTGTCGATTGCTGCCTTTTAAACTGTGCTGCAAACTACCACATACCAAATTTATAGATCTTTCAAAGTAGAAGAAAATCTGATTTAAATGTGATTTTCAAAATCAATAAGGAAGACACTTGCAACAAACATAGAGTTTTAACATTTTTTATTATGTCAACAAGTCACAAATAATAAGGAAAAATCACTAAAAATCAAATCCATAGGGCAAAGGACATTAAAAGACATTTTATAGTAGATAATATATTGTCAGTAAACTTACACACAAATGTTTTATCTCACTAGGAAACAAAAATGCAATTTAAAACAACGGAATGCCATTTCATCCACCATATTAGTGATTTATTTTTAAAGTAAGAATAACCAATGTTGGCAAATGTGGTGACAGAGTAAATTGATATAATATTTTTGAAAAATAAGGTATCAAATATTCTTCCTTTTAAGTTCAGTAATTCTAGTACTCAGTTTGCATCTCAAAGGATGAACTTAAACATAAAAAAGCTGCAGGAACAAGATACCCATTGCAGCATATTTATAATATTGAAAAAAATGAAAACACACTAAAAACCCCAAAGCAGAGAGAAAATCAGTTATATTAATATATTTTAACTGTGTGAGATACTATACTGCATTTAAGTGATGTTTTGGCTGATCCATACTAATATCAGTACATATTATTGTGCAATGCTGAGTGAAAACAATAGGACACAAAATTACATATATTGAAGAGCTTGTGCTTTATGTAAAACTCTATGCACAGGAGAATAAAGGCCCCGAGAATTTTTAAATTTTTTCTTTACAGTGGTTTCCAAATTTTACATAACATGCATTTTCATGCTTCCAATGGATTAAAAACTGTCATGTTATTCTTCAAAGCTGTTTCTAACTCAATGTTTTCACATTTTTCTCTAATGCAAAACCTTGTGCTTAGCAAGACTGATAAAATATCATAATGTTTATCACGAAAATTCCAAGTGAGTATTCATCCTTATTTTGGCTGTAAGTGTAGCGAATCCCGGACATATGTGACTAGGCAGCTGAAACCCGCAGGTAGCAGCCCCAGCCAGGGCTCTCTCAGCATCCACACTCATTCGGCCTTCAGCCCTTTTCAGAAACCACCGCTGCTCCTGCACTTGTGAATATACTGTGCTGATAAACAACTGGCAGCACAGGGAATGTTAACGATCGTTTCTAATATTTGCAGCACAATCAAAAGCAATTTCTTTTCCTTCAAAATTAGAGCATCGAAAGGGAGCCATTTATTCAAATATGTTTTTTTAACAGAGTAGATTCTCAAGAAAGCAAAGATGAGGTGTATTTTTATGATGTATACATTGCCTAGCATACTGTTAGCTTTTATAAATAACACCCTTTGCAGTATTTACCCTAGGGCAATGGCGAACTGACATTCCATTCCCGTGAAGAAAAATATCGTGTGTCTCCCCTTTTCTCCAGTTGAATCCCTCTTTGTAAATGTGGTCACTGCTTAGACTCTTCAATGTAATCCCGACCCATCTCCACCCCTGAAGAGAGAGAGAGAGAGAGAGAGAGAGAGAATGAATTAGTTCAGGAGGTTGTGGGTTGTGGTGTCAGGAAAGATCTTTTCTTGATGCGAGGGATGTGAAATATACTGGGATATATTTATTCGGTATGGTTCTTTGTTCTGGGTAGGAGTTTTTCTCTTTCTAAAGTTTTTCAATGTCGCTCAAGGAACAGAAAAGTTTATATTTTCAAATTCCCGTTGAAGGCACCTCTCAAAGCCTCCCCCACGGAAAACTCTCATCTCAGCTCAACACTTATGGGTTTCAGAAGAATACATCCCGATTTTTGAAAAACATGGCTGTAGACTCTGCAGCCCACCAAATCTGTGCTTTCCTAGTTATCATTAATCGTACAGCCAGAAACACCATCTTTTAGCGAACCTGTGTTTTGTGGGCGACGAATGCGCTCCGATTAACGATTAGGTTCATTTGGAAGGCATCACCGTTATTCGTGGGACTCAAGAGTCGCGGGCTTTTGTCAGCGGACCAGCGGGGCCGACGAGCGCCAGCAGCACAGTGGGCGGCAGGTCTGAGGGCTCTGGTCCTTAACGTTTTCAGGGACGTAGTATTTCAGGGACACTCCCCCCCCCCCGAAACTCACGGTGGCAGAGAGTGGACCAGACTGCTGTGACAGGAATAGAGAATGTTTGGGAGTGACAAGGAGCAAGAGAGAGGGTGCCCGACTGGGTCCCCGGGTCCCCGGGGCTCTGGGATTTGCACGAGTTTATCACCACCATTAACAGCGACTTGCGGAGGGTTGTTTACCGCCTGAGTGCGCTACAAGCAGGCAGCGAAGCCCACTCAGGGACCCCGGCCACGCCCCCTCGCCTCTCCGTCCCCCCCCACGCCCTGGCCTTCTGCTGGTCTAGGGCAGCTGTGCGCCTGCACTGGGAGGAGTGGCTGCTTCCACAGGCTTGCTGCCCGGCTCTTTGTCTCCCTTTGTGGCCACTTAGCGTTCATGTTTTGTAGTTGGCCAGGTTAGCTTCGGTGTTTTGTTACCATCACGGGTTCATTTTTATTGTCTGATCTCTTACTTTTGGTTTTTGAGTGTTGATTTGCACGGCTGTCATGCTGGGGACTTGGAGGGAATGAGGTCAGTGTGTATGTGGAGGTCACCACCTTTCGTCCCAAGTCCCACCCACTGAACGGACTTTCCTGAAAACAAGCTGAGCTCCGCCTCACTGAGACCCCACCCAGTGGTCTGAGTTTTGAGGTTCTCTTCTCTGAAGACATTTGTCCGTGGGTGGTGGTGGTCTAAGTCAGTGACTAATACACCAGCTCTTCCTTTGTTCTCAGTCTGTTTACTTGTAACCTTCGCACATTCAAGGATAACTTCACATGGATAGCTGAGGAATTGACTCGTCTCTGATTGATACATTAGGACAGGGGTGCTGTGTACTTGACTTGGGAAGGTGTGATGTGATTGGGTGTCCAGACATTTTGTTTTGCACTGAGTTATTTATTTATTAGATTTGATTATTTATTTGAAAGGCAGAGAAGAAACAGAAAGAGATCTTCCACCCACTTGTTTACTCATTCCCAAAATGGCCACAACAG